TAATAATAATTAATAATAAACTTAATAATAAAACTAATACTACAACTCATTCTATAACAACAGCTTTCATTAATTTATTAAATTCTATACTAAATATCTTATCTATAACTTGTTTACTTGAGTTATTTATTTAAACTCTTTGTATTTATATACTCAGAAGTTTATATCTATTAATAGCTCTCTATTTCTAGTTTGTATAACTAATTTTTTTAGTTACATATTTTACATAATACAGTAATTTAAAATTTTAAAACAGGCTGCTAATTTCTTATTAACTTATTTCTAGCTTTTTATTTTTAAGATAAATCTAGTAAAGCCTACAGTATTTCTATTTTATATAATTCTTTAAACTATATTTCAAACAAATTTGTTTAAAAAATAAATTATATTTAGTATTTTTTAAGTAAAATAATATTTTTTATTAATAATATGAAGATATATTTATCATAAAATATAGGATCTTTGTCTTAAAAATCACTTTATAACATTTTCTGATCAGGTTAATTTAGACAAAAAAGATCTAATATTGGGTTGTATTTACTATATATGTGAATCATATTTGACCTTTATTTATTCGATAGTTTATTAAATAAACTATCAAATCAATAAGTCAAAATATGATTCACATCTAAATACAATCTGATAATTTGTTTTGTTTTGTCCAAATTAGTCTAATCAGAAAATGGTATAAGGTGATTTTTAAGGCAAAAGCCTTATATATTCTTAAAAACATATTTTATAAACTTTATTATAAAAATTTTTTAAAATTACTAATTAATTTTTAAGTAATAAAATTTTAAAATTTTTATTTAAAAATTTTATTATTAAAATTTTTTCAAGATTTTTTAAGAAAGAGTATAGTGATTTAGAGTAGTGGTTAAGTTGTCACCCCAAGTAACAGGTCTAGTGTTTAAATCCTATTAGAGATATTTTTAAAAAAATTAATCTGTATATTAGTAATATTTTATTTAATAATTAGTTGGGTATATTATTTGTAACCTTGATAATACCATCTTGAAATAAAAGCTCTTAGGTAATCCAAATCTAAGAAACCAGAATAATTAAATTCTATTTGATAAGATTTAAACAAAGAGATTGTGAAAATCTTTAATAATACTACAAAAAGCCAGAACTAGAGATTGAAGAATTGAACAAAAACTCTGATACAAAAAGGATCTATTAATCTGACTACTAATTTGTATTAAAAAAAGATTCTATACTACAGAATTAGAAACTAAGAAAAGTAAAATCAGAAGGCATTTAAAGCTTAGATACAATGGGTTTTGGGCTCTATAACTTAGCGGTTAAGCTGCCAAACCCCCACAGACTAGATCAATGATTCAAGTCGGGCTGGAGGCAAAATCTTGGGATTTTTAGCTTTTATAATCTAATAGGAGGCTATAATCGAATGTGGAACCCTGTAGTTAAGTCCAAGTTCAAGTATAAAATCGGAAAAGAAAATTTCTAGAAGGAGGTTTAATCGTGGAGTAGTAGCACTATGTATAATAGATCATAGAAGATTCTGTTATACAAAGGTTGCACATGTTAGTCTTTGATTAAGGTGACCGGGGCAGCACCAACATCCCCAACAGTTAGGGTACTTGATTGGGAGAGTGACATGACGATAACAAAACTGGAGTAGTGAGAAAAGTGGTGAACACAAGGATGACTTGTGGTAAAGGATTGGTCTATCTGGAGTTCAGAAACACCTCTGGCTCCAAGCCACTTGGCCTATTAAGGAAGAAACCTGTGAAAACAGAGCGAGAAGGCTAAAACTTGGGTACATAGTAAAAACTTGAAATAGCTAGATTTACTATGCTGGTAGTACAATTATACAAATTAGGCTTGTATATCAGAAATTAATAAGGAATACCAAACACTAAAATTGGAAGTATCACAATACAAAACCTGCAATTTAGAAGTTATAGAGTAATCTATAATGCAACACAGTGAGCTTGCACCAACACATAGGAGTACCTACCTATAAAGGTAATAGAAATTAGCAGCATACTAACTAAACTAGGTGTTAATGCCAAAACTTAACCTAAACCAGTATGAGTTCCTCTTCGTGATACTACCTAAGCAAACTAGCTGAAGATAACCAAGATTGGAAGTAGCCCTTGAGACTACAAGACTATATTCTAGCAAAGACTACCAAATTTAGAAGCTTAGGTATAAGTAGTATAAGAAATGCAGTGAATAAAGTTATAGAAAAGTGTACCAAAATAGGACTTGTGAAGGGTGATAAAATACTAGATGAGTAGATCAATAATGATATACCACTTTGATAGGTTTGGATCACAGATAATTGGATCAGTGACCGGTAGCAGATGGGGACATCTATCATGCAAGTAATAGTTTCGGCCAGAGCGCAGGTTACCAATAAGATCTGGATCTGAGCTTGGTATACTTGATATATGTAATACAAAAAATGTAATGATACATGTTAAGTATTATTAATAAATAAAATCATGGGCAAGATCCCACCTTAACACCAAAAAAAAAAAGCTTAAATACAATAATCTATTCAGATTAACTGATTTAGTAATTAGAAAGAGATTAGTATAAAGACTAGTTTAATACAGATATTAAAATTAGAATAAATCTTATAAAGACATACTAGAATTGTGCAGTTTAATGATTAGCTCTAACCACTAATAATAGTTTTAACTACTATAAAAAATATTTAAAATCTAATCTAAAAATATATGAAATATAAAAAGATTAAGATTATATTCTACACCTTCTCTAGAGTAATCTAATAATATAAAAACTCTATTGGGGTATCTATAAAGTTAGAACACAAATAATATAATAGATATCGATCTGAATAGTCTTCAATTGAAACAATACAAAATTATAAATTGACATGATTGTAATGGTAATACAAAACAGAAGACATCAGAGAAATTAAATAGATAATCTTCTAGTTAGATTATAGATATAACATTTAGAATAGAACCTTCAAGCAGACTATTTAAATAGGTAACTAAAAGTTATATATATAGCTAAATATACTCTTATTAACTAAGAATATATTACTAAAATACCTAATAAAAATCTGCCTACTCATAACATTGCAAAGGTTTAAAAAAAAAATTACTAAAATATTTTCCCTTGGATATAAATTTTAAACAATATAATTTCTTTTTATAATTTGTAAAGAAGTTTAATTATATTTTAATAAAGATACAGGCATGTCCTCACCTTTAAAGATTAAAAAAAAAAATTACTAAAATATTATCTCCTAGATATAAAGTTTAAATAATATAATTTCTTTTTTATAATTTGTAAAGAAGTTTAATTAAATTTTAATAAAGATACAGGCATGTTTTCACCTTTGAAAATTAAAAAAAAAACATTACTAAAATATGAACTATATTAATAATTAATATTTAAAAAAAATTTTTTTAAATAATTTAATTTTTAATAAAGATAAATCAGAAGTGAATTTTAAATTTTTTTTAAAAATTTTAGTAGACAAATTTGTCTGCTAAACTGGATAGTTTAAGGAATAGTCTGACCAATTGTCCCACTCTATAAATGCATCATACTACAAAAAACTTTAATTATCTTGTAATCTAGTGATTTGATTTTGATGATTTTGAACTCATTAGAATCCTTTTATCAAGATGAACATTTTGATAGTTGTTTTATTTAAAACAGACCAATAGATCAATAGCTATTCACTGCTAAAAAATGTCAAATTATATATATTTTAGTACAATTCCAAAAAGGAGCTCATATGCCTCTGGCTAAACCATCTTGATATATCGGACAATGTTTGATTTTGGAAGAGTGTCGATATAACTAGTAACATGTATAATTGATCTATTAATGTCAAATTTTAACATAAATCTTCGAATCTTCAAATTTATTCACACTGGCGATGTTTTGCATAATCTTTTTTTATTAATTTATATTCGGAAATTTTAAACCGTAATAAAACGAAATATTTCATGCATTCCCGATAATATCCTTTCTTTCTTTTTTTTGATTTTTATTTGTTAATATTATTATTTCTAGATACCAATGAATTATACAAAATTTTTTTTCATTCAGTCTATCACAACCTATATCAACTCGTGTACCCCGCGTTTCATCACAAACCCTTGCCGGCATGGAATGACGGTGGATATGATGGCGAGGTTGACGGTGATATTCGATAGTTAGAATTATACCGATGTGTTTGTGAATGGTGATGATATTGTTCGTAATTTAATGGAGGCGCTAAATTCTGGTAATAAGTCCCCGGTGTTGCACCTGTTGCACGCCTGTCTTCACCATCAACTACAACAGAAAATTGTGTAGTTTCATGTTCATGTTCCGGTAATAGCTGTAGATGCGGGTATGGTGGTGGCAATCGTCTTTGATCTTTTTCTTTTGGGAGCCTCTTATGTTCACCTGGTGACGCGCCTACGTTTCCTGGGGACACAAGAGCCGCAGCTATTTGAATTTGAGGCGGGACTTGGATGTTTCCAATTGTACTAGCACGAGGTCTTAGAGTACTTAAACTCTGTTTGGGTGCCAAAGTCGCCATTTTATTTGAAGTCTGTTGAATTTGTGGTCGTTGACCAGTTGCATTGACATTATGAGATGTTATTGTTACAGATGGCATTTCATGAATTACAACCGGATTTTTATGTGGAATTTTTGGAGATGAGTTAGGTGTTTTATATTGTGAATGTGACGGCAACGGCGCCAAATGTGACGATGGTTGTGAACTTGTAGATGAAGGGACCGATTGTGTGGATGTGTTGCTGGATTTATTAGATGATTTGAGCTGCATTGGCGGTGTAAATTTACCAGTGAATTTCTCACCCGTTATGAACGGGTGTAATTTAGCTTGTTGTGGCGACCATCGTTCAATAGGATTGAGATTCAATAATCCTTGCACAAAATCAATAAAGGCCAGCCGATTTTGCATTTCTGAAATATAAAGGTTCCTTTATTTGATTAGTTGTGGTTTCATAATGAAATATGTGACAGATCATTAATAATGTATCATCACCTTTATCAATGTCCTTTTGAGTTACACCTTTCCTCATTATCGGATAAGACTTTATAATTTCAGGTAAAGTTGTAGCAGAAAAATATCTCTTGGAAGGTTGTTCTACACAATTATTGTCCCTCATGTACTGCTCCATCGTTTTCAGACGATATTTCTTTTGACCATGTTCATTCGTATACCGTTCGAAATATTCATGAGCTGTTTTACCTACTTCGATCATATATGGTGGCGGGACGCCTAACATTTCGACAATCCGAGAGACTTGATTATATTCCGAGCTTCCCGGAAATAGAGGTAATCCGAGGAAAAGTTCTACTGCAATGCATCCTAAGGACCACATGTCTATTGCAGATGAATATCTGATGACAATTAGTGAATAAATATTAATAAATTATGCAACGTACAGGCGAATGTTTTCATTAAATAGTTTAAATGCATAATATACGTACGGAAGCCCTAATAATACTTCTGGGCTTCTATAAAATCGGGATTGAATATACGTATATACCGTTTGACGTTCATGACATGCAGAGCCAAAATCGATAACTTTGATTGTAGGTGACTCTAGACTACAAATAAAATTAATCCCAATAAAAAAAAAAAAAACACTTAGCATTTTAAAATAACGAAAAAACAGTATCATGCAAAAGCCAATATATTATAACGCACGAAGCTTTCACACACTTTTTCAACAATACATTTTCAGGCTTTAAATCGCAATGAATTATGCGAGCTTCATTCAGTACAGTAAGTGCATCTAATAATTGTGAGGTAAATACTCTAACGAGATTAGTGCTAAGTCCACGAAATTGATTCTGCTTTATCAATTCATACAAATTAACGGATAAAAGTTCGAACACCAAACAAAGATGACGACGATGAATAAATGTATCTAAAAGCCTTAAAATGTGATGTTGGTCTTGACTGTCCCACGTTTGATTTAACTTTAAAAATTAAAAGGAGTAATGAATATATTGGGAAAACATGTGAACTATTGTGCTTATTCATACATTACCAATTCTAATATAGTAACTTCCATCATACTTTGATTAAAGTAAGCTGGTTTATTTTTCACGACTTTGACCGCAACAATATCTTTTGTCTTCAAGTTCTGACACTTCACAACCTGACCGAACGTCCCTTGGCCAAGAACATCTAAAATGAGATATCTAGCGAACAATCTAATGTAAACAATTTGAACTTATTATAGAAAACATATAGCAGAATTTATTTACTTACTTCTGTCCCTCCTCACTTCCTAATACATCATTTACATATAAAATATAATCACTGTCCTCGTTGTCAAATCCATCGTTTTTTACTCCTTTTGAGGGTTTTGTCAAAACGCGACGCGGATTATACGATAGTTCGTATCGGAAATTAGGATTTATATTATGATATGTTGATGTAAGGTATACGGTCAACGATTTAAGTGGCTGTGTTCGTTTGAATAGTTACGAGCACAATTGTATAGGTTATCCCATGATCGTCTGATAAAAATAAGTATGACAGGAAGAAAGTTCCGCGAACTATTATAATATACCGCAGAGTAATAAAATCACACACATACACTGACAACTCCTTTCGTGGAATCTGCTCTGCGGTTCGTTTGCTGAGACCTTAGGTCCGATTTAGACCGGACACGTTGAAAAACTGAAGTTCGAAGGTCAGGTGTTGTGCCGTTTTCGTTACGCGTCGTGTGTGTTGAGGTTTGTGATGATTTAATTGGAGAAGAAGTGGCAGAAGTTGATATATTTGGAAAATTGTTAGGAGACGAAGGTTTAGAATTAGAATATGTATTCTGATATGTAATCTGTACTGGCGGGTTTGGTATCGGTGGTGGCTGTTGACCTGATTGACTTTGAGAAGGACGCCAATTGGCAGCTATTAGAGAAGAATGTGAGTGCTGTTTATGTGAATGATGTAACAAATGAGGCGATGGAACATGCTGCTGTGGTAGGGGTGGAAGTGGTAAATTCTGCGGTCCTGACAAGGATCGATGATGTTGCTGAATATTTGGATTTTGAGATGAGGAAGTTACAGAATAATGTCCGGAAGAGGAATTTTGAATATAGTTTTCTGAACGCCTTCTACCACGACCCTCAGGGGCCTCTTTATGTTGAGACGGATTCGGCGCAGAAAGTGGTTGATGCTGTGGATTTAATTGTTGCTGTTGGTGTGAGGGAGATGACGTTGACATTAATGGAAGTGAAGTCATTTGCTTTTGTGAATAATCATCGCTTATGGTAATTCCAACATAATCAGTCCTCTCAGCATTATTATATTTGTGACCAGATGGTTGAGTATATACTGCATTTGGGTCGACACGTCTTCGATTATGCGAAGAACCATCCATTGTTCTTGTGTAATTTCAATTAAATCGGATGTTAAAAATTATGTAATTGTTACCATATTTTTAAGAAAATGATAGATATGTTGACACACAAATACCAAATAAAATATCCTGAAAGTGTTAAATTAATTTATTGAATAACTTTGGTGTGGTATTTAATGTCCAAGAAAACCTGTTCAATATGAATTCAGTGTGTTTCGTGTAAGTGTAAAGCGAAAATAATTACGTTTATACCTGTTCGATGGCGTTGAAAATTATTACCAGTACGTTGACCAAAATATTCAACACCATTGAACGGGTATGATCAACATCATATGCGTAAAAAAGTATACTTACTAAGAACAGATCAAAGGATTTTAATATTGTTGTGATGAATTATATACTATATTGTTTTATTGTATATACCGTAGCGCACTACTCCCTTTTCAGTAAAATATTAATCATGGACAATTCTTTTTTAAAATTCTAGACTACCTATCATAAATGAAAGGTGTATGCACTTGAATTTTTTTTTTTTGTTTGCAAAGATTCTTCTCCACTATACAAATATACCTGGGTATTTTATGAGCTTTTTTTGTGACCCGGGTCTTTTTATTAATGCCGGTATTTATTACAGAATCTCGTTATTTTACCAACATATAAAACGTGACAAATAAATGCTGGTAAAGAGTTATGCAATATCTTACTGACTATTTTTAGTGATCGTATTTAGGCCATACCATAATAGGTAATTTTTTAAAAAAAAAACGGCTGCCAGCTTTGTAAAGTTTATACTATAAAATCCGAATTACGAACACAAATTTTTTTAAGGCCGAGCTAGTTAATTGACTTAGCCTTCATATTTGACGAATTGTATATCGTCGATTAAATATTTTAAATATTTGCAAAGACAGTTGGAAACTGTAGCTGTCTAGATTCATTTATTTCATTTTTATTGCTTATTTTATTTTATTTCTTTTTGGCAAGTTCGGATTACTACTTTTCTAGTTTTGATCTGTTATTCGATCAACTTTATTGTAGATTCAGTAACAATTCAGATTTAGCTCAGCGCAACTAATGCCTTTTCTTGTAAAGCGCTTTGTTTGATTAAAAAGCTGTATATTTTTTATTACCCTACCGAAGCCGGTATGCATTTTGAATCGGTTTTGAGAATAATGTATTTTAATGAACAACTACTCCAATGACAAAACATTTATTTTTGATACGTACTTCTGCACCAACTTTTTTAATACATCTAAACATACCCTAAAACTAACCAATAAGATTGCACGTTGTTATAGTAAAAAAATATAGAAATTTTAGGGTATGTTTAGTTGTATCAAAAAGTAGGCACAAAAGTATCAAAAATGAATATTTGCACCCCGAACTATATATCTTAATAATTGAACACTAAAATTACAAAGATTTTTATTTCCGTATGATAGACAGCAAGTCATCCAATAATGAATCACAGTTTGGTGTTACGTGACACAATCACGAAGATTCAAAACAATCGTTTTAGTTGTAGTTAAAAATTGCTTATTTAAAAATTTTTTTCGCTAACCTTTAACTTTAATCTAATCCCAAAACAGTATAAATATATATATAAATTTGAAATTTTTTTTGTATTAGGCCATACAAACTTAATAAATCTATAAAATTTTTAAAGCGACCCGGCAATCCGGTATTTTCAAAAAATTTCAATATAAAAACAATTATTCATAGATTTTTTTAGAAAAATTCACCCGGATAATAAATATACTTAAAAATTTTTTTAAGTTTTGTAAAATTTGACCCGGCCGGGTTATAAGAACCGATTTTTAAGTTTGTATAACCTTAAAGATGAGGTTTAATAAAAAATGATCTTTTTTAATTCAGTTATTCTGTTTTTGTTTATTTAGAATTAAGTTATTTTAACAAAATTTACATTTATAATTATTACTAATCCAACCAAAACAAAGGTTTGTTTCTAGCTTATACTCAGATATAAATTGCCTTAATAGCATTTGGCCTTTTCAACATTAAATATTTATTTTTTGTTTATTTTTATTTTTTATTTTTTTTTTATCTTTGTAATATTATATGAAGATAGATTTTTATTAGGTTATAATAATATATTCTTGGTTAATTTAGTTACACATGCAACTTTGGTTGCCTATTTAAGTAGTTTACCTGAAGGTTTTACACTATATACTATATCTGTAATCTAATTAGGCGATTATTTATTTAAACTCTTTAATGTTTTTTGTCTTATATTATTTTATAATTATATTAGCATATAACTTTGTGCTGCTTCAATTGAAGGTCACTTAGATCAACATGTGCTTTACTACTTGTGCTTTTTTTTTATAGATAACTTTATAGGTTTTTTATACTATTAAGTTATCTTAAAAGAGTTATTATTATTAGGTTATCTTAAAAGAGATGTAATAATTATTTTTTTAATTTTTTTTAATTTTTTTATATTTTATGCATTTTCAAATTAGATTTAAAATATTTTTTGCTATGGTTAAGATCAATACTAGTAGTCAAAGTTAACTATTAAACTATACAATTTTAGTATTTATATTCTTACAAAGTTTATTTTGATCTTAATATCCATATTAATTAATTTTTATACCAATCTTTTCTTAACTATTAAACTAGTTAGTTTGAATAGATTATTGTACTTAAACTAAATATTTTTTGGTTTTATTTTCTTTGGATTCTACTTTTATAGCATAAAACCTTTTTTTTAATACAACTTCAATAGTCAAGTTAATAAATTCTTCTTGCTTCAGAGTTGTTATTTAGTTTTTCAGTTTTAGATTTTAGGTTTTCACAATATTATTAAAGATTTTTATTGCTCTTTGCTCAAATTTTGTTAAATAGATTTTAATTATTCTAATTCTTTAGATTTGGATTATTTAAAAATTTTTATTTTAAAATGATAATACTAAGATTATAGATAATATACCTAACTAATTGTCAAATAAATATTAATATATAGGTTTATTTTTCTAAAAATATCTACAGTAAGATTCAAACTTTAAATTGCTATTTAGAATATGATAACTTAATTATTTCTCTAAATTGTTATATTATTTTTGTTGTTTATTAATTAGTAATAATTATTTTTTTTATATTAAAATAAGGCTATTTCTCTAATTTTTATTAGATATTTTTATTTTAAAATATATTTAATAATTAAACTACAAAAATTTTAAACTAATTTATCTATAATTTAAACCTATTAGAGCAATTTATATCTTATATATAAATACAACTAAAAGTTATAAAAAAATTAAAATCAGCAAAATTTGAAGACAAAAAAAAGAACCTTTTATTATTTAAGCAAAAACAAATAATAATACTTAGAGCTGTGATATTTATTATATGATTTTTTTTTTATCAAAAGATTATCTTCTTTCTTTATATCATATAGGGTATGATTTAAAAAAAGAGATAAAATTAACAAAAACAAGATTTTTGAAAAATCAAATTTTTTTTTTTAGTCTGGTATATTTTATTGAACTTTGGTTCAAATACCAGAGTAACTACATGGGCTACCCTAACTTAGTTATATTAACAAGAGTATATTTTAGCTATATTTGTACTTTTTGGATATCTAATTTAAGTAGTCTGTCTATTACTAGGTTTAAGGTTTTGTAATTCAATTTGATTCAATTTGATTCAATTTGATTCGATCAAATATTCAAATTAAATTAAATTCAAATTATAGATTTATTTTTATTTTTATTTTTTTTATCTTCGCAATGTCGCAGAAGGACGAATTTTTATTAGGTATATTAGTAATACATTATTGGTTAATGAGAGTATATTCTAGCCATACCTGCACCTTTTGAGCATCTAATTAAGTAGCTACCTATTACTAAAGTCTACACTAAATACCATACTTATAACCCACTATTACTTGAGTTATCCAATTAAACTCTCTGGTGTCTTTTATTCTGCACTACCATCTTAATTATATCAATACATAATCTCGTGCTGCTTTATTGAAAACCACTCAGATCGACATGTACTATACTACTTGTATCCTAATTTGATAGATAACCCAGTAGGGTTCTCATACTTACCAGGTTACCCTAAAGAAGATGTAGTATATATCCTTCTAATCTTTTTATGTTCTACACATTTCCAGATAAGGCCTTTTCGGTAACTTATGCTGAGTCCAAAAACAAATACTTGAGAGCTGAAGCTGCTACAATTACCTATTACTGCCCTTATAGAGTTTACCCAAATCTTGATATCTACTTTACAAACTCTCTCCTATATCTTCGGAAACCCAAACTCCTAATCCAATAGCTCGGAAGGGTGAAACCTTCTTTTGGTTATCTGACAGCCTAGTTAGTATAGTGCCTTGCTAAACACCTCAGTTCCATCCAGTTTTCTGATATCTGGTTGATTATCCTTTATATAGTAACCATCAAAAATCTGTGCTACCTCTCCACTCGGGTCTTGCCAAGCAGGCTTCTGTATCTTGTAAATTCGCTGGATTTATCTGATAGCTTCATTCAGATTTTGTATAACTTATACATCACATGTTCCACTACCTCTTTGTTAGAGTTCAGAGTATAGAGCATGGGTATGCTCATAAGCATGTCTCAAGTTCAAAGAGCATGTCCTTGTTATGTAATGTTCAAAGTTATTTAATTGGCTAATAAGTTCAGATAAAACTAGAACTGTAGATATTAAATCAATATGTAAGATTTTTAAAAAGTTGTAAACAATATGTTAATCACTTATTTAAAAAAGGCATGCCTATAGGCATGAAGGCATGTCTATAGGCATGAAGGCATGCCTTAGCTCAAGGGCATGCCCATATGGGCATGTTCAATTTTTTTCCCATGCCCTGAACCCTACTCCTAGTACAAACTGGTATGACTATCATTACAGGTTCTATAACCTAATAAGATACAGTTTTTCAAATGTATTTTTTATAAATTCGAATTTTCATTGCTGGTGGGATTCGAACTCTAGTCATGCTGCTTGGGGTTGTGACAACTTGCCAACTTCACTAA